CAGTTGTAGGCTACCCCTCGCCAGTGGACAGTGAGCCCCCTGTGATGCCATTAGTACCGGGGCCACAGCAGTTCTTCATGAACCATCACCCGACGCCCATATCGCTGGACGGCTGGAAGTCACCGCATAGTAACACATTGGAGCACAACCTCAAAAACAAGTCCCACCACAACCTGATACCCTACCAGAATAACCTGGACAATATCAATAATAGCGGCGACTATAACAACGAGCCCACGTGTCTCATGAGGACAGCCTCCGGCTCCCTATACATACCCAACGAGAGTCTCAAGGGAATGGTAGGCAATCCGTTACAGGTGGCTAACGACTACAACACTGGCGGTACGATACCGATGAATGAGTCTAAGAAAAATATTGATAGTCAACTGCCATCGGTGGTGCCCATGAGGAACCACTTTGGACGGCGCCCACTGGGCTCACACCTGTCCACATCCCGGTTCCAATTGGGCAAAACCCTGTCCGCCATGTCCTGCAGCTGGCGGTGCACTGCCATCGCATTCATGATACTATCGTTGGCCCTCTTCATCGCCATCACGTTTGTCATCAGCTCCGCCCTGTCGTCGGTGGGGTTGAGAGACACGTCCAACTGCGCGGTGATGGTCGACGACATGACTGTCCAAGAGCTTAAAAACCCCGGTGCGCTGGGAGGCATTGGTGGTGACGGCAAAAGTAAGAGATCCGTAGCTATCGGTGATAGCGATGTCGATGTATTACTAACACAATTGCATGAATCGCATGATAATCATCGTAATAACAATCACTTGAATCTCATGACAAACACAATTAGTGGTAATGAGGGCAGCGCTACCGGTGCTGTTCATGTTGTGGGTACCGGTGATGGTGTGTTGATTAGCGCCGGCAGTGGTGACCACTACTTAACGAGCGACATATCCACCGATTCCCTCATAATTGATGAGAATCTGGACAATGATAATGGCGTACAACTGCCCGTACAGTCGCCGCTCAGACAGTTAGATACCAGTGCTTTGAATATGAATTTAGATATTAATAATAAGTTTGTGGTCGAAGTGGACGACAAGCATGTGTTGACCTCCACGACCACTATTACCACCAGTAGTATCAACACTACTACTCCTACTCTTACTAACCCTACCTCTCCATCGCCGCAGTATTCAGTCAATGATAACTCAATTCACAGCAAAATAGATACAATTAATGAAAAAATTCAATTACTTTTCGATGCCATCAATGATCTGAATAATGATCTGAAAAGTTGCGATAAATATAGTTTAATAACAATACAATCATTAGCTGACGATAACCGCCGTAAGTCTCATGTCATTTGAAACTATTCTGACATTTGCTTTTAAAATAGCGATCAGACCTTCAATCAGTCCATTCATTTGGTCTACAATTGAATTACATTTCAATTAAGAATATTCTCTTCTTTTTGTATCAAATTCTTGAGTCAATTCTCTGATAGAAATCCACTTTAGATACCAAAAAAGTATAATTAATTCTGATTTACAAATGAATTAAAATCTTTACAAGACTTCATAAGTAATAATTAACTTTTACTTTATTTATTTATACGAAAAGAAAATCAATTTTCTATATGAAATAGATTACTTTTTTATCGGCATATCTCTACACTTTTATTATGCAAATCATTTTAATCTCAATCTTTTTGTGGTTAAAGACATCTCTCGCGCTATAAAAATGTTTTTGTTATTTTGACAAAATAATTTTGGGTATGCTTAGAATTAATTGTGTCTCATTGTGATTAATTGTGCATAAATGTGGTATATTCTCATTATAGTCAACAATTTAATAAAAAACAATTTCAATTAACTATTATTTATGACTACATAGAGAGTACACTATATTGCATGCGGCCAACCATTTACGCAATCAATGCAAATCCGTTGAATGCAATGTCACTAACTTTCTACTACCTGTCCTCCAGTGCCTAAACCTCTACCGGCGAAGACGTTACCCCCGGAAGCAAACAAGTTAACTGAAGTGCAGTTTGGCAAAAGGGTTGGCCATCGCGTGCCATCGTATGAGCACTGGAACCTCCACTTCCATCAGTCGGACCCATCGCTGGTCAAATTCAATCTGACGCTCCCATTGGGCGCTACGGTCGGCGTATACGCGAGTCGTGAGACCGTCCCCTCGCACACCAAATACGACTTCATGGAGATCGTGGGCCGACTCATGGGCGGTGTCGGCGCCGCCAACGACCGGCTCCAGTCCCGCGAGTTCACCCGTTTCCTCGACAGAGGCAACTGGTTTGTCGCCATCTATAACGACGCGCTCATGACGATCGACATGTCCCTCGTGTTCGCCATCGCCGACGAGTCCAACATCCCGTGCCCTTTCGACTGTCACGGGCACGGCGTCTGTGTGATGGGTCAGTGCAAGTGCGACGACGACTACACCGGAGATAACTGCGCCTACAGTCAGTGGACACCAGTTTTTATTGATATAATTTTTATGCCTTTAGTTTGTTATAAAATATTTTGTGTCTGTTTTTTCAGGGGTCTGTCCCGTCCTGTGCTCGGGTCGCGGCCAGTATGCGAACGGTGAGTGTCAGTGCACTTCCCGTTGGAAGGGGAAGGAGTGTCAGCT